GGCACGTACCGCGTTGAGAATATCCGGGCGAATCTGATTCGCCAGCCACATCAAGTATCCCACTAGCGACCGGAAAGGCTCGTCGACATCGGGCTCGTCGGCGTCGTACTGCTCAAGCTTCAACCCAACGACCATAGGTGTCTCTTTGTCCGTCGTCACACCGAACTTGGCAACGATCTTCTCCGCTACAGCCTGTTGCGAAATAGTCACCGTCCCCAACACCGTGTCACGAGGAAAGTGGCAACCCGCATACCATCGCAGTTCCCCAAGGTTGGAAATGGGCATATACCGGTTGAGCTCAACACCAAACTGATCGCACCTGCTCTTGAGCCCGATAGAGAAGATGTCGTCTACGTGGATCACAACCACCATGGTGACTACACCGCTCTCGATCAGACGCATCACACACGCATCGGCGGCACAAGGCTCGAAACCAAGACTCTTCATGCCACGCATCAAGTGATGATGCCATGTGCGGGACGCCTGCTTCAGACCGTATAGGCTCCGTCTCAACCGCACGACCTTACCGGAAAGCGCACCGCACCCAGGGGGAAGACGAATGAACACAACCTCATCCAGTTCTGATTGGACAAAGGCTTGCTCGGCATCGAAATGGCACAAGTCCCAATCTAACACACAGGCAATGGCGGCTAGCAATCGAATGCTCGTGATGGAAGGACACGGGGAGAAAGTCTCAAAGAAGTCAACACCCTCACGCTGCGCAAACCCACGGGCTACCAACCTAGCCTTAGCACGCACAGCATACCCAAACTCGTCTCCCTTCCATGAATACACCCACTTGGCGGAGATGACGTTCGTCCCTCGTTGCTATTCCGCCCCGACCTCCTCGAAGGTGCCCACTGCATTCAGCCCGAAAAACTCCTTGCGTTCGGCGTTGGTCCAGATGTGGTGGTGGGGCCCCGCGTGCGCCTCCCCGTATGTCTCAGGCGTCTCCAGGTCGCACACCAGCCCCGTCGGCAGGGCTGGCTCAGCGACGCCCGGTGCAGGAAGCTCGGCGATAGACCGCTTGATCTCGTCCTCCGTGGCTAGAAGAGCAAATATCCCCGGCCCCGGCCCATCTCGCTTCGCCCGCGACCTCGTCACTGCGGGGGTCGCTACAAACTCCCGCTGCCCCTGCCGACGACGTCCGCCTGTACCGCCCTCATGCACCATCTCCGTCCACAGTCCGTCCGATGCCATCGCCGCCGAGTGCGCGGGGGCAGGTGTGGCAACAGGTGCCGCAGATGTGCTCACCCGCGAAGGCCCCCCCGCCATCCGCGCAAGTTCCGCCAACACCGCGCTGCGCGCTGCTCCGCTCGCCACCCTGCTCTCCGGCTCCGTCATATGCTCATGCTGCCGCTGCTCCGTCGCCGCCGGAGCTGCCGCCGATGCTGCCGCTCCGGCCGCCACCGCGGGGCCTCCGGCCATCCCCCCCGCCGCCGACGCGGGGGGAACACTGCCACCGGAGGTCGCCGCCGTCGCCGCTGGAGCTGCCGCCGATGCTGCCGCTCCGGCCGCCACCGCGGGGCCTCCGGCCATCCCCCCCGCCGCCGCCGCGGGGGGAACACTGCCACCGGAGGTCGCCGCCGTCGCCGCTGGAGCTGCTGCCGATGCTGCCGCTCCGGCCGCCACCGCGGAGCCTCCGACCATCCCCCCCGCCGCCGCCGCGGGGGGAACAATGCCACCGGAGGTCGCNATCTTGTGCGTCGTAGAGGAATGTTCCTGGCCTGAGTTCAGATAGAAGCACCGCTCCCCCTTGCTGTGCATCTTGGACGGGCGGTGACGGTGACGGAAGCCGGGCATCATGAACGGCAGAAGCACTCGGATCCTCCTCCTGCCGTACAGCTTAACTTCCGGGCACCGCTTGTCTTCCTTGCTCACCTCCGCTTCGATGTTCAGAGAGTCGTTCATCCACGCAAAGGCCTCGGGCCAGATGGCCCGGAAGGACAGCGCCTTGGTCGGGAACGTAACTCCGTGGAAAAGCTTCGGGAACTCCAGAACGCAGCCTTGCCCCCCTCCATCACTAGTGCAATCCTCCGCTCCACAC